ATTGATGTTGTTGCCAAAATATAAGTGGATTTGTATAAATCTCATTATCCTTAAGTTGTAAATCAATATATAAATCGAATTCATCTTTTGTTTGTGTCACTACAACTGGAGTTACATCATCCATTAATGATTCTAAGAAAAGTTTCGGTTTCTTTGTTAAAGGTTCATTAATATCACTACAATCATTAGATAATATAGTTGTCGAAGTTGATGATGGTGGAATTGCCATTCGACACGAACGATGACATTCAATTATTTGAATTTGTGTAGCATTTCTTAATTGTTTGTAATTTGGATGTAAAAATGTTCCCATAACGTGCAAATTTTCAATTTTAAACATAGATTCTAATAATTGTGATGCTCGTTTAGCAAATAATTTCATACCTAAATAAAAAATAGGAGAAAGATCGTAAGAATATTCTTTATAATTAATGGGAAAAAACTCACCACCTCTCATTGTTCGTTCCATTTTTATAATTTGTTGTTTCAGATAACCGATACAAGGTAATGTCATAAATAATGATGGTGAATTACTAAGTTGAGTTTCATTCATTACATATTTCCATGGCTCCAAAAATTTGATTAATTGACTAACAATATTCATGTTGATCTTTTCGAGTCTTGATGACTCTTGTTTTTCATGTAAAATATGTTTCAGAGGATGATAAGCTTTTTCAATACTTGATAATAATTCATGTAAAGAGAGCCATCGAACGACCGAAGATTGATGAAGAGTGGTAAATTTTGAGAATTTTGTTTTACTACTGTCATCATCAACTGTTGAACCATATTCATCTTCGTGTTCAACTTGAATATGACGATCAAGGTTGGCCTAAATAACAATGATAAGGTATTTAAAAATAGTTTTATGTTATTAGAATAATGTTTTGTTTGTTACAGTTTTGATATATTTTACTAAAGCTTTACAATAATGAATAGTATCTAAAATTTCTCTTGCAGATGTTGGTAGGTCATTAATTGTAGTAGATGAATAATCAGTAATACTATCATCATCATCACTTATTTCGGAATCATCCGTTTCATAATCATCTTCACCATCGAATAATTCCATCTGAGAATCGATTTCTGGTGATGCTTGAATTGTGGTTCTGTATTTAGTTGTGTTATTAGGTGTTTTTTCTATTCGTTCAATAACTGTTGTTGTTGTTGTTGTTGTTTTATTTTTGTCATTCTTTTTTTCCTTTGACAAATTTTGATAAAAAGTGTGCTTCAGAATATTGTTAAGACGATGAGCCGTACAAAAAAGTACCGTATAACCATCTAAACCTTTAACGAAATTACTACCACGATCAGTAACAAATATTATATCAGATAAATAGTTTTCTAATCCGAAAGATAATAATTCCTTGCGTAACAGCTACAATAACAAAGAAAATTATTTAACGCAAAAAAGTATAGTTTGATTCATATACTTTCATTATATTTTCACCGCTTTTCTTTTTTGCTTTAAATTCAGTGCAAAATAAATCAACCGAGTAATATTTACTGTCTTTTTCGACAAAATGAGCTGTTGAACCTAAGTAACAAATTTTACGATACTTGTCACTCCATATATCTGGACTGATACACACACCACCATATTTCACAGCTTCCACCAAACGATCCTTAAGTAATAACCTTTCATGAGCAGCTAACCTTTTAATTTCATTTTTAATTGTTCGATCACAGCTAATAATATTATTAGAAGATATCACTGTATCAGGACCAAATTCTCGACCTGAAATAAGAAAACGTTGTGTCGCAATTTCTTTAAAGTAAGCAAGTGTCTCTTACCAATTTTTAGACATTCGTCGATCACAGCTTTAAAACCAGGATCTTGAACAATTTGAAAAGATCGCATTGAATGGGCGATCCATCGAGCACAGACTTTTTTCATTTCTTCTTTTCTTTTTGCAATAGCTTTTGCAACAGGAACTGTGCGTTGATCAGTTTGACGAGGACTTGATTTTGATAAAAAATGCTGATCAAGAGATGTTTGATTTGATGATAATAATTTAGGACATTTATGAGAGTTTATGTGAGTAGTGCTTGAATCTATATAACGATAAGTTTCCAAACATTTAAAGCAAGATGCAAAACCAGGAATTGCTATAAATTCATCTTTATCATATAACTTTTTAGCCGGAAAGCCCATTTCCATTCTCTTCCAACACACCGCTGAGACACGTTTACTTTGATTTGGTATGACTTTATAATTTGTGCTATCATTCATCAATAATAATTTAATGGATTCCGATGTGTAATTTGAAGTCGAGTTGATGGCAGGTTCTGAAGATGAAATTTGGATTGACAAATGAGAAATAGAAGAGTTAGATGATGCCATTATGACAATAGGTTAAAGTGAGTAGTTTATGAGAAGAGAAATTTCAATCACCTCAATATATACATATGAAGAAAAGATGATGATATGTCAATCATTTTAGAAAAATACATTGTTGTCAGTTAGACGAGCAGCCGTCCGTATTTGCAGCATGAAACAATCGAACAGATAGAAGAAATAAATAAAAATTTCCTCTGTGTATAAGTGACCAATCGTCATGAGTACTTTGTCTGTAATTGTTATGAAGAGAGAACAAAACAATGTAGAATAATCGGTCAAAGGTCGGCCACTCATTGTTAACAACAGATTTTTTAAGAAATAGATGATAGTTCAACCAATAACAGTTCGATTGAGTTCGACATCATTTTTCAAGAAACGGTTCGAGTTCGGTTCGGTTCGACTGTATTTTGAAAACAGCGGCTCGAGTTCGGTTCATTTTCGGGCTCTGATCCACACAATGCCCAATCCACACCCACACTACCCATTTACACTCGCACCATCACACTCCGGGTTCACACTCGCATCCAAACTCATCGACACCCTCACCTACACCACCACATCACACATCCTCACCTACACCACCACACCACACACCCTCGTCCACGCAAAAACCCACCCATACCCACATCCTCAATATATGCCCACCCATAACGCCCGCCGCACGCGCACTGATACCGAGACCCACACACCCGCACCGTCTGTTTGGCTAGAATTTGAAGCTGAAAGCATCTGCTTTGGCGATAGCCAGGTATCGCAAACCCATCATTGGCTGATTTTCTAGAATCAAAGAATCGAATTGGGTGAGACCGCTGGGTGGAAAATCTTGATTGGCTGGTTTTCTAGGTTCAAAGAATATGATTGGTTGAGAGCGCAGGCTCGATAGCCGTGATTGGCTCGTTTTCTGGGTTGAAAGAATCTGATTGGCTGAGGACGCGGAGTTTGAAACCCCGATCAGCTGGTTTTCTACTTTGAAACAATCTGATTGACTGGAAGCGCGAAGTCGAAAACACGTGATTGGCTGATTTTCCAGGTTGAAATAATCTGATTGGTTGAAAGTGCAAGATCGAGAATCTTGGATTGGATCATTTATTAAGGTGAAAGCCCGATTTCGTGATCGTATGTTTTTTTGACCTTTGACCCTAGCACAAACACACAAGGCTACAAACGCATTTTTAGTTTTTTTCCATATTTTTCCATATGACCCTCCGTTCAATCGAGAGGACAAGTCCTATATCATTATTTGCTTTTTTTATGATTATTATTATTTAATTTAAATTCAAAGTTCAATAGGCACAAATATAACATCATGCTAAATATACTGATGATGGGTCGGTAGAAACCCGAAAGCTCTATTAAATATTGTTAAATCAAATTTATAATTAACTTCATTTGTGATTTTATTTTGTTTTTACTTGAATTATAGTCAAAAATAGCTCATTTGGCAATCCAAATTTCTCATTTTTTATTTATACTATATTTTTAATATTTTTGTGCACTCAAAAAGTTAGTACACTTTAGAATCGGTTAGTGTGTCCATCAGGCCGTTTAAACGATAACTTTTGAAAGGAAAGTCTGATCTTGATGAAATTTTGTACACAGTATTGTCTTATCAATATCTCGGTCGAGTTCGAAGATGAGAACGATTTACTGAGCCTTTGCTGAGTTATCGCAAAAAAGATCATTATTCCCTATGCTTGTCTATGCGATTATTGACCTATCTCAGTTTTCGTAAAAGAACTTTTCCTCTCATAATAAAACAAAACCCCAGCTATTATATACCATTCGATAGAGAAGTTCACAGGCTACAAAATGGTATATAAAACATTAAGAAACAAGAAGGCTAAGTCACCTATTGCAAAGATACTTAAACGGAAATTGATTCTGTGTTTGTCCACGCTCTTATTGATAGAAAATTAAAGCCCCATCTTCCGATCACAGAAACGATACTTAGAGGTTTTCTGGGGTGACGAACTTGAATCTGAGCTCTACTTGTCTTCAAATCCTATTGGTTGAGCAGTAACCAATAGAAATTAACTTTTAAGAGAAATAGCTTGCTAGGATAATTTTGAAGTCTACACATGCTATGATGACTTAGCTGTCTAATTCACTTTTTGGAGTACACATAACACTCCGATTTAAATCCGATGTTTCCACATTTATTTTTGTTCGAAAGAGCATGTCAAGGTACAGGACATGACGGAATCTTTCTTTTAAATTAAGAAGAGCTTAGTCATATTCTGTATCCTCACATGCTATTTCGAACAAAAACAAATATTAAATGTATTGTATAAGTATCAAAAGAGAAATTTGGGTTGCCAAATGAGCTATTTTTGACTATTATTTGGTTAGTATTTCCCTAAAACATCATGATATAGACGTGAAAATTTTGCCATAGCCTCTCCACTACAGCCACAACCTATCCTGAAAATATCAGGTTAGTTCACTTGACTTGATGTGAAATGCGGTTTCTGAGAAGGAGATCTGAAAAATGAATCAAAAATGGCGCAGGCTGGCAGTACTAGGTTTAATATAACTCCTTCATTTTGTATTCTCTTCTTCGTTTATATTGTATTGAGTGTTCTTTAATACTCATAACCACGGTGATTATTATTTTTTTATACATATGAAAATAAATGAAATATAAATTTCTATTCCATATTCTATGGAAAATTAATCATACATGTTATGATCAACACTTAGACAAGCA